ATCTGGAGCCAGGAATGCTTAGGCTGCCTTGCATGACATTTGGAAGCCTGCAGTATGCCCATGACCATGCCCGTGGGATGAAACAATATGTGCTGCTGCTGGTGCTTGGCGGGATTTGGAATCTGCAGTAATGCCCATGACAGCTGTCCAGGGATGCAGAACTGCCAAATATGCTCCTTGCATGCGACAATTTGGAATCTGCGTATGCATGACGCGTCTCGTTGCACGTGGGATGCACTAACCTGTGTCTTGGGCTGCCTGTGCTCTCGCTCTCCCAATCTTCTCTTATAATGAAAGTACCTCAAATCCTAATATGCCATGGAAAATGGCTGCCCTTTCAATGAAGAGGAGTTGCTGCGGGAAACCAGCGGGCGAACAAGAGTCTGGGTAGAAGAATTCTTATCTCAGCAGAGGAACGCCTGAATGAAGCAGAAGAGGAGGAACTGGTGGGCTCCACCGCGGCAGCGTGAAGGCGACCGCATGATTCGGGCCGTGCCATCTAAAGTACTTTGCGTAGAGTAACAATTACTAATAGTTGCTAGTTGTTGTTACTTTTAGAATATCTACTAGTTGTTGTAGTTGTAGCAGCACGGTATGAGAACCTAGAGTTTCTATCGCTGGCCAGAAACAGGCAATAACAGCAGCTCCCAAAAGAGCGGAAAGGACACATCACGGACAACTTAAAAATCATCAGTCCGGGCCGTCCTCGTAGTTCTTCGCGCGTTTGTGGATTGTCAGACACATTGCCTTTCCCCTCGAAGTTGTTGCATCCTGTTCTTTTATCACTGGGTCTGAATTATTAACTAACAGTTGATTCATTCTTCAATGGTCATGATCCGTGATTGCTTGTGTGTGCTTCTTCATCCTTCTTGTGGTTATTTTTATTGTGTTCGTTCAACTCGTCTGGCACCACATACACATATGTCCCATGTCGACTGGTCCCTTCTGGTTTCCATCCCGGAATAGAGAATACATTGGACACGACAATGGATCCGGGTTTTAATTCGTCTCGTAGCTTGACACCGAGTGGTTCCATAATGGGCCCCAGCCCGTACACGGCCACCACGTCGGCTTGTTGCAAATCGACCTTCCAGATATCTCTCCAATAAAATTGGGTGGAATGCCAATATTTGGGAGCTTGCAACAAACGTCGGGATTGACCAACGGCATGCAGAATGGGATTGATTTCGTAGCCAATACTGGTGGAAAAAATGCCCTGTCGTGCCGCTCGAAAGACCAATCGACCATCGCCACTGCCCAAATCGACAAATGTCAGTGACTTGCTCTTGTGGAGTCTACTAACGGCCAACTGTTGTTGGAGTTGTTGAAACATGGCAGTTCCGTGTTTCTTGGACGTTGGTAAATACGGAGCTCCGCGGCCTCGAATAGCGGGTGGCAAACTGAGCAGGGCACTCAGATGGACCAATAAGGCGACGCTGGCACCGGCGACAATGTAGGGATGCTGCTCGGACTATTGGTGAGAAAGGTAGCAGATGCTTCTTGTTCTAATACTCTGGAGGTCTTGTCGTCGTCATTCAACGTCGATATGGGGGTGTCCTTCTTCGTCATGGTGGTTTCCATTCATTTCTTATTTCAAGTACGAAGTGGAGAGTGGAGAGCCATGCATTCTAGCTACTAGTAGCGGATATGCATTCGATGACGACGATGGATTTCTTTGGATCTTCGTCGTTGCTTTATGTTGTTGTCGCTTGGAAGCAAAACCTGAACTCTAATGCTCAGCAGGAACCAAGAAGAAGTTGGAGAAGCGCGACCATGAGCTTGCCCAAGTTCCGAACGGCACACGCGTCTGTGTGTGGTACCACAAGACGCCGTCGCCTTTTCTATTTTCCAGCAAGAATGCAGAAACTGGTGCATACCACAAACACTATCTGGCTTTTCATTTGTAGACTAGACTCTACAGAATAGATACCATACTAGAGAGCTTCTACTGGCTACTTATTACTTGCTAAGCTGAAGAGCAGAAAAAGAAACCTCATTCATTACTGTCCCATGCCATGGACCACCGCCAACGAAGACCGAACAACAAGTACATCACTACGACGGCTGCAATAAGTCTGTTGGAACTGGAAGCCTCTTCGGCATCATCCACTCCCATGACTTCTCCACATCCCAACAACAATATTAGTACTGGTACTCCCCAGTATGAACGACCCATGGTTTCCGTCATGAAGCGGTCCAAATCGTCACCACCGGCTCCACCCCGAACATTTCCACCCGATACATCCTCTACTACGACATCTCCTACTACTAGTGGTAGTAATCCACAAGATCATCAACAATCCGTGTTACCACAGCACCATCCGTCTCCACCTCCACGACGTCAATCTCCATTTGATGCTACATTTGATACTACTACTTCGTTACAACACCAATCCTCTCGTGACTACAATTCCGACTACGACAATAATAGTTACAATCATCGATTACGGAACATTCCCAAGGCATTCACGACGGCCGATTTGGATCAACACATTTTACGCGGTCTCACACTAGCGGGCGTTGTGTTGTGTTGTCTGGATACACTCTTTGGATTGTTTCACGTCGATTTGTTTTTACGGGCATATCATTTGCCGTTGACGACCTACAGTTTTGGACGCATTGTCTTCTCTGCGTGTAGTACGGCATCGACACTTTGGGCCGTCGGATGGTTGGATTCGCAAGTGGCCAGTCGCAAATTGGATCGATCCGATCTGGTCGGGTGTTTGGGGGTCCTATTGTCGATTTCCTTTGTCTTGTTGTTTGGACGATTCTGGAATTCACACTACTTGCAACTGCATGACAAAGACGGCAATAGTAGTCTGGAAGACGACGATCCACAGCCACAATCTACTCCTACAAGTACATTCCAATACTTTGGTTGGCAACTACTGGATGGAGCTCATTTTGTATTCTCCATGACACTCTACGATACCGCATCGACCATCATGACCATTTCACTTGCCAGTGCCGTTTCGGACGATCACAACATGACCGATCAAGAACGAGTACAAAACATGTCATCTAGTCAAGCGTACAATCTCATTGCCTCGGTCATTGTTGCCACGGTTGGAGTGCATTTATTCGACACGACGGCATTGCGGACATTTCAATGCTTTGTCATGGCCATTGCGTTCCTTTCCATTACTACCTTTGGAACCGCACAGGGAATCATTTCCGGACAACAACAACAGAGACGAAACTCACCAGCGTCACCACGAAAACAACCACAACCATCCGAGCCCTTTTGGAAAACGCTCCTCCAGAGTTGTTGCAAAGGATGGACCGTCGCCATTCCCAAGGAAAAGAAAACTCGAATCTCTCATCCACAACAACAACACAACTCTACTACCAATTCCAATACCAATACAACCACAAACAACCCCATCAATTGGCGTCAAGCCATGCAAGATTTGTGGAATCATTCCAATTTCCGACGATGGATCGTACTCGAAATGCTGCTCGAAATGCAAACACACTTCGTCCAAACATTCTTCAAAACATTCGTCGATCAACTCCTTGTCGATGTGCCACATGTTGTCAGTGATTGGTCGTTGACGCTGTTACGGCCGCTCCAGCAAGTCATGACACTATTATTCTACATTCCCATTCGATGGTACGGATATCCCCGTGTCTACACCGTCATGATTGCCATCTTGTGGGGTCTGTCCAGTATCACACTCCTGCTAGCGACACCGGCGTCGACGGCATGGATCTTGTGTTTTCTTGTCATTTATGCCGTGGGAAGTGAAGCCTTGCGAGCGGCAGGATTCTATCTCTGCGTCTCCGATCTGGTACTGGAACTCAAACAATATCATGCCCAACAACGACGTGTCAATGAACCATCTCTCGCCGGACTCCTACTCGGGGCCGCCACACTGATTTGCAAACCCATGCAATCGTTATTACCAATCTTGGCAGCCACGTTGTTGGATCTCTATCCCTATCGGCCACAGCAAGTCCTGTACTATCTACTGGTGTTGCCACCCTTTGTGTGTTCGATTCTGCAACTCTGGGTATGGTCCTATTTCGATCTTCATCCCAAACGAACGCACGAACTACGAGTGGAACTGCAAGAATTTCATTTCTATCAGAGTCAAAAAGATCAACAGAAGCTGTCATCGAGTGACTTGAACAACCACTTGTACCATCACGACGAAGTCTTGGTGTCTCGTCAAGACCATCATCATCGGGGCGCGGAAGGTGCCTCCAAACGACGGGGACCAGCAGGAGGGAGCATGGTGGATGCCAACACGGGGCGCCTGACGGCTATAATATGAATTGATTTGATTCTAATTAGTTAATTAGTGGTGGGGTGCGGTGAGGTGACTCGACTGGACTCGTCACACTTGTTGCTTGTTGCTTGTTGGATGCACCGTTCCAACCTGCTTGACATGGTTGGGTGTCAACGACTTGGGGATCATCGACTCAATACCCAGTCCCAACAAGCCAGTGCGCAACATGACGCTCGTATTGATCGATTCAATCGAATCATTTGAGAAGCAATGAGAAGAATCTGAGGCCAAAACGCTGGTTGCGGGGTTCCCTGTGAAGGTTCCTTGGTTGGTTTCCAACACTAGCTTTGTCTTAAAACATTGCAAGTGAACGGGTGGATGGGGGCTCATCCAGGTTGCGCTCAGCTCCGTACTTGGACGTTTCGGCTCTGAAGTCGTTCTTGTGCATGTAGCTGAAAGACGAATACTGTAAAATTTAATGCATTTCTAAAGCCACACATCTCTTACGCAGTACTAGCTAGTCAGTGGCTTCTAAACATGCTGGCTGAATGACATACCGGTACCAGTATGCTCTCCAGCGGGCTTTGGGACGAGTCTTAGTGAAGCTATGGTGCGCTTGAGGTTTGCGGTACGGTGGACCGGTACCACCGGTAGCTGCATCGGCAATGAGCTGGGCCATGGCGTTGTGTCAATCACTGGGTTCTTTGGTGTTCGGACGGACGAAGCAAGACCGTTAAAAAGTATCTTTTCTTGAAGACTACGAGGAAGGGTTATGTGATGGTAAAATCGTAAATATATTTTACTTCATCTACCTACAGGCTTTGCTTGGTTTAGGACAGCTTCAGCAGTTCGCCTGCCTTTGCTTCATTCCAGAAGCGGACCATGAGAGCGAGTGATTGATCATTATCTTGAGGAACGTAACGGCTATTGTTGCTCTGTGTGGTACCGTACCATCCCAGTGTGATTGGCAGGCTTTGGTTGCCAAGCAAGGGCTTTCATTAGGTGTAAGTTTTACGTTGTTGAGTGTTTTGAGGTTGGGCAAGGATTGTCAGAGCTGGAAGGTGGAAAACTCCACTGCCTTGGCTGGTCCATTTGGTATCTATGGCTCCTCAGCAACCAGAAGCCTGCATTGGTTGATCCTGCTGCCCATTTGAGGCTTGTTGGTGATGTCATTGTGGGCCCGCTGGTTTGCCTGTGGCCTACTTACCATGGACTGGATAGATTGCATCTGAATATTGTAGCAGCCATACTTCATGTGACTAACTTTTGCCATGTTGCGGATCTAGTGTGCAGTTGTGCAGGAAGGACTGTGTTGTGGACAAGCAAGGTTTTGGTAAGAATAAAACGTCAGGTATGGTTTGGACGAAACCATATCCCCTAACTATTCCCCTGTATGAACTCTCTATCTCAGTTGTGGGCTATTGCTTTGTGGGCCAAGGGTGCTGCCTCCAGACCAGGACGATGAAGGAAACACCACCACATAACTGGAAAGGTGACCTCGAGAAGTGGCAAAAACTCACTGACAAGGAGCGTGACCAAGTTTGGGTTGCACATGTGACGAAAAAAATCCTCAAGCTTGGCATGGTATGCACTCCAGTTCTTGCCAAGCTTTTGGTGGATTACGTGTGCAAGCTTCGACCCAAGGAAGAAGCAATGTGGTGGGCAAACGAAGAGTGTTTCCTTGATTTGTGCATGGCACAAGCAAGAGAAGAGCCCCTTGCAGATGTTCTCATCAAACACAGCATCATACCACGCAATCTTCTCCTTGCAGATGGTGCCAGTGTTCAAATGCAAGGCCCAGAAGGTCGGAAGAAGTCAGAAAAGTCGTATTTTCGGAGGTGGAAAGATGCTTCTTGGCAAAACAGAGGTTGGGAAGAAGCAAAGAAGGTGTACTCAGTTGGGTCCCCACTGCAAGGAGATGCAAGCAAAGTGGTGTTGCAGGGCGACAGCGTTTTGGTTGTGAATGGTCTACGGGGAGAACTAAAGCCTGCCCATATCGTTGACACCAAGGCATCCGAAGGCCTTCCTTTTTCTGCCCCAGCACTGCATACTTTGATTCAGTTTGATTCATCCAAGAAAGTGTATGCAGTGCTCACAGAAACAATTCAGGTGAGTGTAGGAAAATGGTGTCAGTATTGTAACTTGCCACTAACATATAGCTTTTTTCATCTCACAGGATTCCTGTACACCACTGGCAGGTGAGGGTGGATTGCGTCGGTCACGACGTACCACAGCAAAGAAGGTGGAATGCCAGAAGATTCTTTCCCCGAATGTGGTACCAACTGTGGCAATCATGTCCAAAGGTCCTGGAAATCTTCCACCTTTGTATTTCAATGTCTTCTTCACCAATGTTGTCTTCAAGTCCGTCAGGCTCAACCAAGACCATACCGTCACCTTGCAAGAATATAGAAGTGGATGGGAAGTGGAAGTTTCTCCATCCTATCTCCAGGAGGTTTTGCTTGCTCCCAGATCCTTCATGAAGGAAATGGAAGCCTCAGTGGGGCAGGTAAGTTAAAGAAAATTGGGCATTACAATATTGCAACACACTCCTCTAATATTGTGTATAGTTTTTGCGACTTCCAGTTTCTTCGAGACCGAACAATGTTGCTGCCAGTATACCCTCTGATGTCACTGCTGAGGAATCCTCCAAAGTGGAAGCTGTCATTAGTGTGAAATCCAAGGAAACTACTGCTGGGCAACAAGAAGGTTTGCTTCATCCCACCAAGGCACAGAGTGTACAAGTGAGGTCCACCACAAGTTTTTCTGGTGGGCACACCCCATGGAGTTCTGTGGACGTTGAGTTCCAGCAGAATCAGCATGAGTGGCATTGTGTCAAGGATTCCCTGGCCAACACATTCTGGGTGCATGGCAAGATGACTGAGGATGTCAAAATTCAAGAATTCGCAAAGAAGGGAGTTTTTGAACTAGACATCCCCAATGATGCTGCAGTGGGAGGGATGACAATTCACAAAGTGAATGCTGGAATCCAGAAGTCTTTGGGTCTAAGGCTTGTCAAGCTGGATCATGAGACATTCAATCCACTCCATGGTGCCACCTGGAAACGTACTGTGAAGGAAGGGGACGCAAGCGAACCTTTGCCTCTTTTTGTTGTGGGTTTGCGCACTGCACTTGGGAATGATGTTCCCCACTGTGTTGGTCTGAGCCACGGGCATGTGCTTGAGGCCTCTTTCAAAGAGTCCCTTCCATGCCAGAAGGAATCATTTGATGAGATTTTGTCAGGTGTTTTGGCATGGGAAGGTGGTCGAGCCCTTTTCGGTGGATTTTCATTCTGCTATGGGCTTGAGAAGCTGCCCCAGAAGCGCAAGAAGAAAAGGAAGAGAAAGTCATCTAGTCAGTCCTTCAACTTTTCAGAGATGCCCCAATTAATTGCCTCCCTCACCCTTGAATTTCTATGTTTGTTAACCCCAGTTTGTCCCATTGCTCCAGTGGTTGAAGATGGTGGCACAGGAGATGCTTCACTTCCAGTTTGATTGGAAATGGCACCATGACATTGCATTATGTTTGAGGGGTAAGTTTCTTGTATCTCCTTCAGAAAGTCACAGCAGCACTGTTGCCCCCTCTCTGTTGTTCTAAATGATGTTGCCCCCCCTGCCTTGACAGGGCGACAGGTGGGAGCAAAGTAGGTATGGAGCTAGTAATATATGTAAGGGGGATTAGTAGATGTAAACGACAGGGCTTTTGTTGGCTGCAGCTGCTAGTGTCACATTCCCTTCTGTCACTTTGAAATACGCATTCAAAGGGCTGCCAACCGGTACAGGTAATGGTGCTGCCCACCAAGAGATTATAGATTGGGAGCACCGTCGTCATCTTCGTATTAACTAATTGCACAAGGTCGCTCTGTCGACGTCCAAATAGTATCCAAACGACTGGCTCATTTTCAACATGGAGAGTGCTTTCTTCTCACTAACCTCGCAGAGCTCCTCCCACGTCAGAGTTGCTCGATGAATCCTACTTCCCTTGCGGATGCGATCGCCACGAGCATTTCCCTTGTAAGCTCCCAACTGCAACTGACGACGCAACTCTCGTCGCCTTTGATGCTCGTGCCTCTTGATTTGTTGAGCTTCGAGCACTTGGATGACTCGTTGATGGCTCGGTGGATCTCGTCCCACGGATCGAAAGATCTCATCCAAAATCGTGACATTCTTATCCACTGCCAAGTCTTCCAAGCGAAAGATGGGCACATTCAAATAGTTGATGAACCCCTGCCAATACAAGTAGATTTCCAGTCCACGAAAGATGAGAAAATGGGAGAGCTTCGGGTTGCGGTTCATGGCAATGGTCCGGTGCTGCATGACTCCCTCCAACTCTTCTTTGGTAATGTTAAATTGTGTCATGAGGACCGTCTTGTTGGAAATGGGAATATGACTGGCAATGTAGTTCATGTAGATGCGGCTGTGATCCGAATCTTCCCAGAGCGGATCGGTAAAGGCAATGCTAGTAAGTGTTTTGAGTGGGTCTCGTACCAAGTGCCAAATGACACGAAACTTGCTCTTGTAGAGATGCGTGGTAGACTGCCTTCCAAAGTAGTACTTGTCCTGATGAAAAATGTGCTTCCACGAGACGGTTCCCAAATGCTGTGGAGTATGTTCGTCGGTAGTGAGCCCCTGCAGTCCAGTCTTGGTCAAGAGCTGCTGCATGAACCATGTTCCTCCTCGTGGCGCCGATGTAATGAGCAAGGGGAAAATCTGGGATCTCGACCCGGTCTTGTTGTTGTGTACATTGCCGCAGCATTCCGAGTAGAGGGTCGATCGAGCGACAATGGTAGCACAGTGTTCCTCCGAGCAGCAATAGTCACTGGTGGAATTGTGGATGCAGTAAGAAGCATCATCCAGGCCATCGTTGCCATGTTTAAAGTAGGAAATCGGAGGTGGAAGCTTGTACGTCTTTTTGGGCGTTGCCGCCTTTTTGTTGTTGGCTCGTAGCTTGTCATGTGCCAACACGGATTCCAATTCGGCCTGCATGGGGTCAAACAAGGCTTTTGCTTGATCAGGGAAGGACCAGCGAAAGATCAGTGTGCCGCCGGTCATCAAGACCAATGCCATGCATACCGAGAACCGATTGTTCCGGTTGGCCAGAAAGGCGTTTACTCTTCTCCACAACATGGTTGTCGTTGACGTTGGATACCTTTAGAATGATTTTGGGTGATGTACTCGTCTGTGTTTGTGAAAAATAAAGGAGAGAGTTTTCGGATAGCAAGATCGCAACGGTGATTCGGTTGGCCTGCTTATTCATCTCGGATAGCTGGAAGCCGTATCTCGTCATGTTTTTACAGCTTCTCTTTACTACTGGCGTACTCCATTGAAAGACAGGCGTTCTGTTGGCTGCTGCTGTTTCTTCTTCCATGCTTCTGGTCCAAAGGAAAGATGGTGATGACCAACGGCGCTGTTGCTGGTGCCATGGGTAGCATGATGTTCGTCCATTCCAAGCGTTCACGTCGAGCATCGCTCGGGCGGTTCTTATTGATATACGCTGATGCCGGGCAGATTTGCCACGCCTAACAACCCAGTGTAAATATTCAAAGTTTACCCTGTTGCCCTGACGCTGTATCTTTCTTCGTCAAGGCGAGGCAATTCTAAAAGATACGCGTTTCAATTCGCATCTCTGTCATTTTTCTCGTCCGTGTGTACCAGGTATGGGAAAGCTTGTTGACTCCCTGCACGCTTCTAGCTAGCTAGATTTAAATGGTAGCTGGCTTGGTGGCCTTGGCTTCACTGATACAATGCGTCTCAGTTGTGTTCCTTTCGTCACACTTTGAATTGCAGTCGCGTGCAAGGCAAATGAGGTGCGCACTCATCCAGGTTGGGGGAGGAAAGGTGCGCCTCCAACTTCCTCTCGCTGGTAACATTGCCACCCTTGGGCATCTTCTTGAATAACGGGGGCAAGTTCTTCGCCAGCTACCACTGGTAGTAGCTACATTATACATCGTTGGGAACATGGCATGAAGCCATAATGGTACCGTCCCAGAGATATGGATCACTTCGGATGTGTGGCTTCATCGTGGGTGTTCTCCTAGTTTGCTGCCTTGGCAGTGCTGCAGCTTGGAGGGCTACGGGTGGCGGCAACCGCAACAATATTCTCCATCGTCGCTCGAGAAGAAGTAGTCCAAGACTTCGGGGCCGTGCATCCGGCCCAACAAGACACAGACATCAGAGATCGCCCCGCAGTCACAATAATGTCTATGTGTCAAATCCTTACTGCATCAAAATGTACCGTAAGCGCCATCGCGAATTAAAAACGAAAACAGGAGCCAGAAGGGGGTGGATGGAAAGCAAATCCAAGGGGGCAAGTCGTAAAGGCGAGGGGCACACCACCAATCTACGACGAGGCTTTCCAGATCGGGAAAGCAAATCCGAGGGGTACACAAATCCACAACGAAGCATTCCAGATCGGGAGAGCAAAAGTGAGGGGCACATCACCAATCCACGACGAGGCTTTCCAGATCGGGAAAGCAAATCCGAGGAGTTCACCAATTCAGATCGGGAAAGCAAAAGCGAGGGGCACACCACAAATCCACGACGAGGCAGTTCAGATCGGGAAACCTACTACAGAGAAGCAAAAGCAAGGGAAGGAAAAGTGGAACGGGAAAAGGAAGCACGAAGAAGAAGGCAAAGCGTGATTTGTTCATCCTCCCACATCACGATTACGAGCAGTATGATTCAACTTACACGGTGGAGTGGTACTACAGTGATCCAAAGTGCTATACCCCCACCACATCCGCTTCAGCCCCTGCCGAAGCGCCGACTGTCGCTGCAGTTCCAGCGGAAACCGAAGATGTGACACCACCGGCATCCATGCCTTCACAATCATCGGCGGTACCCGAAATCAACTTTAGGGGTGGCTTTCCTTGCGACAACACACCCTTTACCTTGAACAGCAATCCTTCCGATTGGTCGTATCCCCAGATTTTGCCATTGGATCCTGCAGATCCGACGTCCCTGTGTTTCCTCCGCATGTCAGAAGATAGCAGTGAGAATGCGGGTGCCTCTACTGCCTTTTTGGACCTGGTATTTGAAGAGGACAATGTCAATCGCATTTTTTCCATGACCATTGGATACAGAATTTATGGACCTGAAGCGACCACTGGAGATGGCATGGCCTTTGTCATTCACCAAGACCCACGAGGCAAGGATGCTCTGGGGGGTGGCGGAGGAGGCTTGGCGGTCTACAGCTCGAGCATAGATGGGAATTTTCTGGAAGATGGAATCCGTCCTGCATTAGTCATTGAGTTTGATACGGTTGACAACAGCTTTGACAACCCAAACCTACTTGATGACGGCGTTCCCAACATCCATGTAATGCAGGTAGATGGAACAGGGGCACTCACCGAGTTGGCAGAAGCACCATCCGTGCCGATTCTGACGGATGAGGCAGGAACTACGTCCGGACGAATGTGGGTTGACTATTGCGATGGCCGGGTCCTGAAAGTCTATATCAACAATGCGGGAGATACCAAGCCTTCGATTCCCCAGGCTGAGGTCACTTTTGATATGGACAGTATCTTTTCAGGGCAGAACTTCGTGTCTGGATACGGCGCAGCAACTGGGTTCTTTGCCGACTATCACGAGATCACCTCATGGGACCTGTCCCAGACTTGTTGAGCAGAACCAGCAGTAGCAACGGCAGTGACGGGGTTGGTCAAACTACTGAGCTTTGCTGGGTGATGCCGCTGTCGTCAATGGCCAGAAGCTCCGGGTGGCCCACAAGCTCGTGGCTTTCAGAAGGAGCAAGCAACAAAGAGCATCGTGATAGTCCACACGCTCTTACACTGTTTCCACTTTCCCAAACAGCAGGAATACGACCAAAAAGACACGACAACGAAAGTTATCGCTTCGTTCCTTCTTGGTGGCTTCTGTGCAGGGATACCGGTACGATGCGGCGACTACGTTTTCAAAACAAATGAATCGAATCGATCGAAGCTGCGCACTCATCGCTTCCGGGAAAGCCATGGCTTCTCAACTTGCAATGTGTGCACTGCCAGAAAGGTGTAAAAATAAAATGCCGTGTTCGTAGCTTGTTCTACCTTACCTATAGAGCAACGGAACGTGAAGGTGCGTTTGGATTCTCTACTGGTATCCTTAAGGTATGCTTCCAAAGACTAGAGGCAGTGTTTGTTTGTAGATGGAAGAGGCTAGGCCAGCGAGATGGAGCGAGATGGGACTCAGTGACAAAGGTGGGGGTGGAGTGAATGTGGGAGTCAGATGGCTTGGTAGCATTGTAGAAGGGAAGAAGTAGGGGAGCCAACTTGGTGTAAAGGTGGAAAAGAGGGATCGTAGTAGAAGGTTTTTGCCATGAAGAGAGAGCCCGAGAGTAGGTGGGATAGTGATGATTTGGTTGTCGGCAGTGGGGATTCCAGCAGTAGCATAACGGAGACTTTGGGTGGTGGAAACGATGAAGGCGGGGATAGTAGAGAGGATGTTGTTGCGGGTGCCCAGGCCACCAGAGGACACAGGATGTTGAAGGATGTGGAGAGTGTGGGGAGGCAAGGCATGGACAGAGGCTAGTTGGGCAATGAATTTGTGATTGGCCTGGGTGGTGGAGGTCTGGAAGGTTGACTGCCAGTGGAAGGGATCAATGGTGGTGGCATCCTGTACTTGGCAGTGGTGGTAGACATCGGCTGTAAGAAGGTGTTGGACGGATGGGATGGCACAACTGTGGAAGAGCAGGAACTTGGTATGAAGGTCAGTGGAGCTGTTGAGGAGTTTGGAGAGATTGGTGGAGTATTTCTTGGATGCTTGGGTGAGGAAGGACGTAGCAAAAGCATCAGACCCAATTGGTTGTCCCAAAAATCTTACTCCAGTGGTGATTTCTGGTTGGACATCTTTGCCAGCTTGGGCATTGATGTAGGCCAGGGCTTCTTGGATGATTGGATTGGTAGATGGAGTGCCTGTGGTGCTGGTGAGAAGCTTTGTCTTGGAGAAGTTCAGCTGGATCCCCAGTGGTTTGCCCTGTTCCTGGAAAGTCTCTAAGACTGGAATGATATATGAAGGATGGAGGAAGAGGGATGAGTCATCAACATACTCCAGGGCAGAACCAACTGTACCTCTGCCATCATCTCCAACTTGGCTATTCTGTAGTCTGGCTTGAGCCCGGGCTTTGAGTACCTCTGTGACTAACTTGAGGAGGAGGCACAAGTTGAACACCGACATGGTAGGGGCAATGGGGCACCCCTGTGCATGGCCCTCTTGTTGAAGGAAGTACTGGAGTTCGTTTTTGTCGTCAAAGTAATAGCATTTGTTGGGTGTGGAGTAGAGGAGATCGTAGAGGGGAATGAGACATGAAAACTCGGGTGATTCGATGAGGAAGTCCCTGACTGCAGCTCGGGACACTTCATTGAACATTGTTGTGGACGTGCGGAGCTGTTGTGAAAGGAGGGCGGAGGAAGATTTACCCCACTAACCTCAAACGATACCGGTATCTTTTGACTGGGTGGTGGGGCATATCTTTACCATGCCCGACCTGCCACCATGACGCGAGTGACAGCGACGACACTACGGAGAACGACCAATCCAATACTGGCACACCTTGCAACGGGCTGTCGTATCCTTTCATTCATAGTCTCCACAATCGAACCACGCCGTTAGTTAGTTGATGCACGGTGCCGCCAACAGCCAATCTTTGGTCTTTTTCGCCTTGTTGTCGCTTCCATCCCAAGTCCATGGTTATTCCATCATAAGTAATAGTAGAAGACACATCCTTATTGCCATGAGCCTCCACAAGAACAACGACCATCCGAATGATGACGGGGCGCCGTTGCCAAGAATAATCTCCGAGCGTGACGACGCATCGTCCGAACAAAATGATCCTACTGCTACATGTACTAGTGTGGATGACAGTAGTAGTATGCACTGGATCTTACACTGGGATATCAACGAGACCATCCTGGTGGGCGATGAAGTTGGCGGGGACACCATTGAGGACTGTTTCAACAAGATCATTGCCAAGTCGGCATTTGTGCAAAAGACTGCTGATAATGCAGTTGGCGATGATGATAACGATTTCGACAGTACCACTGCCATGATCCCCACGCATTGGTGGGACGGTAGCCCCCTAAAGGACGAAGAAGGAGGTCCTCCTCCCCCACTCTATACGGGATGGGATTGGCCGAAAGGTTGCTGTCCGTATTACCGAACCTCCTACAAACGCATCTCCAAAACCTTCACTGATGGACACGGGGCCGTCTACAAGCCACTCTACAAGGAAATCGAACAGCGACTGACTCGTCGTCAACAACCAGACCTCTTTGACAATATCATTCCGGCATTTTTCCATACCATGAATCAACTGATACACTCGCCGTCGTCGCCCAACAATCCACCCGTGACGATTGTCTTTCGAACCTTTGGGACGGATTTGCCAAGTATTGCCCAAGCCATGACGGCATTTGCACAAGGCAAACATCCCGATTATCCGGATTTTGTCCATCCCCAATACGAACTGGATGCGAGTCGGTTGTATTATGCCAAATGGGTGCTTCAAGATCATGCTGGCGGCGGAGCAGAAAAGCAAGAAGAAGACGAGAGGAAACGCTATCAGTATCAATTATTTCGACAAGACGACGGCTCCATGGTGGCGTCAGGAGATCAACAAGTACTGGATCTGCTGCACAATACTGGTAGCAGTGACCAACAGCACTATGTGTTTGGCATTCAAGATGACTATCCCATGTGGAAAGCTCACACGTGGGAGCCTTGGGCGGGAAAACCCGTTTGGAAGTTGGATGGTGATTCCAAGCACCATCACATACTCCTAGACGACAATATTCACAATCTGCCCCATGATGGCATTGCCAGTGTACGGCAACCTACCGACAATGAGTGCTTTGAGTCATTGTCGGGTCCCGAGATCCAATCCATGCACGGAGTGCACTTGATTCGAGTGCCGACCATCGAGCCCATCATGAATACCGATTGGTTCCTGCAACAGATTGCCAAAGTGCAAGCCGCCGCACTGCTTGCACGGGCGTCTACCGGCACTACTTAGTAGAAGATGTAACCCAATCATACCGGCACGACAGCATCGATTGTCCATGGAAGAAGTATCTTGGTGCGTGTCGATAGAATCTCGTGGAAAGTGAACTGTTTCAGGGGGGTCTGGGCACAAGAAGAGGCTTTGAGAGGACAACAACCTGTCGAAATTGAGTCGAGCAATCAAGTCAGCAATATGATCGCGATGAATCGGAGTGGGAACTACTGCTACGATGGGTTCCAACGGAAAGTGAGGTGCTTTTGGTTCTACAAAGAACGAGATCTGATGCCACTCAAAACCTATATTAGTCTAAATTCTTCTTGCAACAAACTTCAACTGCAGCCAGCCAATCCCAAAACAGAATATGCTTGCCGACTCTCCTCCCTTGAACCCTTGTCTCTCGACGCCGTACACTGCGTCTCCTGGTTTTAGTTAGAACCAACAATAGAATCATCATGCTGGAAAAAGGACCATCATCAGTAGCCTTGCCATTCAGGAGAGAATCGAAGCCAGGTGACAGCCATTTTGGTGTTTCTGCAGATTGTCCATGGCGGCATCTCCCGTTCAAAATGGTCGGTTCGCCTGTTGCTTTGGCCTGGGCTTTCGTTCCTGCCTGCTTGCTGCTTGTATCAGTGTTATCCACCCAAACGGTTATCGAAATGCAAGGATAAACAAAAGCAAAGAGAGGTTGAGGGTGCTTCTGTTTGCTGCTCCTCGACGAATGAATCGAATCAATCGAATCGAGCATAACTTCCTCGCTCGGGACCCCTTTCCGTGTCACAGGGAATCGAATTCTCAGACCCGCAAAACAACAGTCACGGTCACCCAAACACACTTCGTCGCCTTTCCCCTCCAACAAGCAGAACTCGGCCATGGACGGCCATGGGAGGCCTCGGGCGGCCACGAACTGTTAACTTATTAATAGAATGGACGGCAGTGAACTGCCTGGCTACCGTGGCTAGGAGGGTTGCAGGATTGGCCGCCCACATGAGCCCACCTTGGCAGCCAAGGTTCGAAATTCGTTTTGCTGATCCTACTAGATAATCGTGGCATCTCTCAAACTAGCTAGTACGCTAAGTGTTGCAAGTGAATAGGTTGTTTCCTCTCCTCCAAAGAGCCCTTTTCAGTGTTGTCTGGTTTGGTATAGTGGGCCATGGTTGACAGAGCCGCATGGCGATTTCCAGGCAGGTCCCAGTGGAGATCGTTGGCTTGAGCTTGTGATCGAGATTGATAGCTCCATCGTCAAACCCCAGAAGTGCATCACTGAATGTTCTCACAAATCAACACACCAGCAATCCAAAAAGCAATAAAAAACAACCAACCAACAACCCAACCGTCCAACATTCGCAAACATGAAGATCACTCCCTTGTTCTCCACTCTCTTGGCCACATCTGTTGTCCTTGGAACCTCTGCTGCTGAAACCTTTGCTATTCGTGGAGCCAATGACAAAGGAGAAGATCATCGCAAGCTTGTTTCCTTTGATACCATTCTTTCGCTCTTCACCCCTGTCCTTGATGTTGTTGTTCGTGGTGCCTTGGGTGCCAGCTTGGACCCCTTGAGCCTCTCCTTGAGTGGCTCACAAGATATTAACACTGTGGTTTTTAGTGAAAGTTGCACTGCTGCAGCTACTGTGACCTACAACATTGGTGACTTGACAGGACTTGGTAACTTTGTCATTGAAAATATGGCCATTGTGGATGGAAGTGCCAACATTGATGTGTCCTTCTTTCGTGGCACTACATGGGATGCTACCTTCAATGTGGAGGGTCACTTGCCTGAAGGTCTTGAAGCCATTGTAGATGCTGAGATCACTGCAGATGCTTGTGGTGTCCCATTCCAGCAGTCTGCCTCAGGATTGTTGGATGCAGTGGATGCCCGTGTCAACTTTTCCGTTGGTACATCTGGATCCATTCCTGGCTTCTTTGGCTCTCCTTCTGTCTCTGGGGCAACCTTTGCAGATGTGGATGTGACCTTGGGTGGAATTGAGACAAGCATTGACTTTGATGGAGTGGAGGTGGATCTCACCACCAGTGGATCAGAAGGGGCAATCATTGATGCCATCATTGGAGCAATTGTTGGCCCCTTTGCTGACATTCTCAATGGTGCCTTGGGTGGAGGCTTCAGCTTGTAAAGTGACCCTTCTTTGTTGACAAGGAACCATTGAAAATGCAAGGAAAGGAAAAGGAAAGGAAAAGATATGAATATGGATATTGAGAATAGTAACGTATGAATCAAAACTAAATGTGAGATAAGTGAAACAAAGATGTCCAGAAAGTTTGCTTTAGCTTGCTAGTTCAATTCGGAATTGTTCAAGGCAGGTATCTGAAAGCCAGAACCCAGGTGGGTGCGGTCATATCTTTGGTGGGAACCCAGGTGGGTGCGGTCATATCTTTGGTGGGTACGGCGATCACACAGACGGGTGCGGCGCTGTGGATAACACGGGGTACCGTGGGAACCCAGATATCACCGTTACGTCGTCCTCTTTGGCTCTGTCAACTAGTCTAGCTAGTGCCTTCCTTTGCTCTGTACGTGTTGTTGTACTCCTGGGGTAGGTTCATCTCTCAAAGCGCCCGACCAATGCTGTGGTCGTACCGGTATTCAGCATCCCCACGTACAGACCTGTTGGATACCTAATCTGCTACATTCTTCTGTCTTTTGACTTGATATGGCAAAGGTATCCCGGCCTTCTATTGATGGTGCGTTTTCCTCGGTGTGGGCTGCTTTCCAATTAGGTGCGTGGAAGGGCTGACCCGGTACTCATCGTTTAGGCCCTGGGATTTAGGGGAGGAGTACCGGTGTACCGGTTGCTGCGAAGCAACAGCAACAATGCGACGATGGAGCCAACGCAAGCATCCCCTGATCGGCTTGTAGCATTCGTCTTCTGCTTTCCAAGGACCAAGCGTGGACAGTGCTCCTTGACCTCTCCCCCTTTTGCAGCGAAACCATCATAAACGTAGCTACAACGACGGAACCATGTGCCCGACAACTGACAACAGTGACCCTCACGAGATTGAAGCGCGCTTTTGGGAGTTTCATCAACAGAATTTTGGGATAGCTTTGCGAGAGATCCGCAATGGTCAGAAGGAAGGCTGTTGGAGTTGGTACTTTTTCCCGACGCCACCCTACATTGTCGACGGAGTGGAACGAGGATCGTCCATGAATCGAAGCATGGCACTGCGAGGAGATGACGCTGTGCATGCCTTTTTGACGTTCCAAAAAGATGGGGTTGATTTGCGGCGGAATTACATTGCCATTGCGACCGAAATGCAGACACAATTGCAGCGATCGGGCATGACGTTGCTAAAGCTCGTGGGACCATTGGATGATGCCAAAGCCATTAGCAGCTTTCGGCTTTTTGAAAAGGTTGGGGCACAACGCAACGATGAAGAATTGTACGTCCTCTGTGGCGATCTCTTGGAATTGTGTGGACAGAAACGAGCGTATCCAGTCCCCACTGCAGCAGCACCGCCACCACCAGCAGCGGCACGCAAAAAGCGACGGATGTTCAAGGGTCTCCTATTTGGTTTTTTGAACCGAAAGAAATCGTCGAAAGCCAACAACAAGAGCAAGGATTGAGTTTTGTTGAATCAATCAATGAATCGAATCATCAACCCGAAATCAAAAAGGCAGCGCCGCATTACGTCTTTATTGATAGAGACAATCTACATATCTTCGGAAAGTCGCCACAACAAATGCTACCGTATGGATGACATACGACAAATCTATTGCAATTGGTAGACTAGTTTGGTTTCCAGAATTGTCCTTCCGATCTTCATGCTCATAGACGAACTCTCACATATATAGTACCCCAAACTTTTGCGCAAGTGGAAACGAGTGCACACAATCCAAGTAAGTTTGCAGAGTAATAGGTCAATTTCCAGCGAGTGTTTGCGCTTCAGGAGTGCTTCGTCAAGCTGGCCAACGCAAGCAAACGGCATGGGAACGTTCGACTCCGATGGAAGCTGAGGCTAGTGTGGAAAGTGTGCCGTAAGGATACCTGCTCGACTTGCAGTGGCGGTGAGGACCCATGGCTACGCAGTCTACCGTAGCGTATGAAAACAATCGCATCAAAGGCCGGGTGAAACGGGCTGTCTACTCTGGCTGGCCTTGGGTTGAGGCATGCACATCCCCCGCTCCACGAGCAACTTCGCGATCTTTGACTCTGAGCTGGCATCTATCATTCGTAGCTTGTCTGGGCTCCAGACAAGGCGACCTGGAAGTGGCTATCAGCCCTCAATTCCACCGGGTTAGGATAGCGCAGCCTGTTAGCAAAGCAAAGAACATATATGTGGCCAAAGTTGCTTCCAGTTCACTTGCCAGTTGTTTCTGGGCTGTGGATGTAGGTGCCGATCTTGGAGATATGAGACGCCACTGACGGCAAGCAACGAGCGGCATTTCCTTATGCTGGGGGGTGCCCGAGCGCACATCCAGCAAAAAAGCCAAGGAACTTCTATACTAGTAGCACGAAATGCCGCTTTCCGGAAGATCTTCGCAGCCTCGTGGCTTGCGGGATGATGAGCCATGTCATGGCATGTGCCCGTCTCTTCCTTGAGAGTAGCTACTGTACGAGACTGGGGACGATATGCCGATATCCCCGACCTCCTGGAAGAAGGATGTCTAACCATTCACTTCATGACTATCCTTCAGAGAGGCACAGTAGACGGACAGGACAACCATTGAAGAGCAAAAGTCTGCTTGGGATACCTGTACTTGCTCCCTGTGGTAGCTAGTCTACCGTACCCTTAGCTCAAGAATGTCAGATGAGGTCGTAAAACCAAAAACCAGGCTATCGTACCGTGGGCAAGGGCTGATCCTGAGCCATCCTAAGCACTAAGCAGCATTCATTCTTTCTTAGGGTTGCGGGTGATCACAGTCTTTACGTCTTTACGTTCAGGAATGCCCAAGAACACATCACGAAACAACGGTGTTAAATGTAGGGGGAAGGGAAGTAATAAACATGCTTTTCACAGGCACGTGCTGCTTAATTGACATTTCAGAATTGGAACCATCGGTACCAGCAAACGTGCAAACTTGCTTGCCTGCCAGCCAAGTATTTCTCTTCCAAGCTCCATAGCGTTTCAGTGGGATGCGTTAGCATGGTTTGTGGTTTGTGGCAATACATGTTATCCTGTTTTCACTTAATGTGTGCATGTTTTCATTGATCTTGACATGGCTCTTCCAGGCACCTAGTAGCTAGTAGCTCCAGTAGCTGGTGGGTTGCAGGCTTCAGCTCTGGAATCAATGGCTTTGAGGAAACCTTCTTTAGTAAAGGTATACCGGTACGGCCATTGACCCTGTGGCCAACCATTCTAACATCATCTGATTGCGTTGATACCCACCTGTGACTAACTGCGTCGTATCTTTGCTTTCTTGAGCTTTGGAACTGTGCTGGGGACATGGAGAGGTGGGTTCCACCGGGAATTTGGTCAGCATGGGCATACTAGTATACAGTAGAATAAATGTATAACAAATGTATCATGTATCAGAGTCTATCAACTTTTACAACAAAGAATTTGCATTGCTCTAGCTAGCTAGCTAGCTAGCTAGCTGGAGGGTTGCTGGCTTCAGCTAGCTTTGGAATCAGAGGCTCCAAGGACTACTTGTTAATTTTAAGATGATCAATATCTTACGCACTTTTTAAAACGGGCAGGTCAAGATGATTGCTTTGATGCCCAGTGTGATTGCACCATTATTCAGCTTGCTTTCTTGAGCTTTCAAACTGCCCTAGCTAGGGGCATGGAGGGGTGGATTCCACTGGGATTTGGTCAGCAGCCTACCTTTACTAATAAAGGGTGTGGCCAAAGGATTACAGCCAGCCCAGGAAGGAGCAATCTCCCATCTCTACCTGCATCGTAACAATTGCAAGGCACGTTTTAGCACAGATTATGGCTTGAAAAGTTATTCACATTTTGGAAGGGACACTACTGCACCAAGTCCTTGTGCATTAGCATCCCGTACCATTGTGTTTCGCGGCAACCGAGCCCTTATCCACTTTTGTGCGTGTGGTCCTTATCGTGGTGCTTGCCTTGCGACCCTCGTCAACCATGCTGCACAAAGCAACCATCATCATCAATCCAAAGTAGAAACACATCTGGCTAATATCTTGCAACAAGTAAAGTAGCACATAGAGAAGCGAGAAGAAGGTGGTATTAACAGCTACAGCCTTGAAGCTCCCCGGGTCATCCATCCATCAGCTCATCCATCCTTGCCGATCGTTCGAGTTGGGCACAGCCGCCGCGAAGGATTGATTCTTTTGTATTCATTCCACAGCCAGCGTTGCATCCATCCTCCTATTACTGATTGAGCTGTATGAGGTGAAAGCATGACAAGCAGCGACCTTCCCGGCCATGTTGTCGACCAGAATAGCAGCCACAGCAGAAGCGACGACCATGGCAGCAGCAGCCGGCAGATCCTGTTGGTGGATGCGCAACAACCACAGTATATTCCTGATGACCATCATCCTCCAATACAACAACAATCGCTGGATCAAGTAGTACCAGTAGTAATTCCACCACCCTTTCAAGAACGACCGAGAAGACATTCGACATGTCCAGGCGATGATCCACTGTTGGGTCGTCTGCGACCGCCTCGACGACCAACCGTCATTCCGACTCCCACAGACTCGAGTACCCGGACGGAAAGCAGCAGCTGCTTGACTACAAATACTAACAACAACAACAACAACAACAACAACAATAGCAGCCACCATCGTCGTCTGAGCAAAGTGAGTCTAAACAGTACAAACGCCTCAACAACACAACAACAACAACAACAACGCACCGCAGCCAAAAAACGACGGAGTTCTTTGGAATTGCGCAAATTGCCAGTCCCATCGGTCCTCTTTTCGAACAATCATCATAATAATCCATCCGAGTGCACCGAATTGCACGAAGACGATTCCGTGGTCGTCGTCTCGGCCCATGTACACCCCATTCATCATCATCGAAACAACAACAATCACAACAACAAGGACCGTCCGTCCCACGCCACAACGACCCGTAGCAGTGGTGTCTCGGCGGAGCAGCACACTACTCCGGGAGACGACGCGTCACAAAGGTGGTGTTGCAACTTTTCCGCCTTTTTACGACGAACCTGTCTCAATTCCAATTTCAACTTGCGAACGCAAATGATGCTCTCCTTTGGAGTGGTCAGTGCCTGTTCCATTCTACTGGTCGTACTCGTCTGCATTGTCGTCTCGGTCATGTGTGGAGCACAAGTACAACAAATCACACAACAGTCCTTTTCGGATTTGATACGATCCAAAGAGGGAACCACAGCGCGGTATCTCGCCGAAGGCTTGACGTTGCGACTCTTGCCGTTGGATCTCGTGCAGGTCCTCTACGAGGCCACCAGAGATCGATTTGCCGGGTATCCCACGTACGAGGATGACTCAAAGGTGCCCTTTTTCGATATGATATCCCAGACGGGTCGATATCCCATTCGAGGACCCCCTTTGCCATTGGATTGGCATATTACTACAACCGGTGGTAATGTCAATGCCACCACGGCGCAGGAACACGTCCAGTCACGATACCAGTGGTATCAACAAGATGCACCACTTAGTACGGAAAATGCCGTCTTTTTCATGCAGGGAGCCTGCCATCCCAATGCCACACTCGGCGATTCCACCTATTGGCAAGACTGTTCCGATGCCAACAATGACGTGTCGACGGGAGGCAAACTGACGCCGACCACCACTGCACAACAAATATACACCAAATCGGCCGATCTGGCACCGTTACTCAAATCACTGTACGAATTCTATTTGGATGTCAAGGAGATTGGTATTTACTTTTTCAATTCGGGCGCAGGGGCGGTCATGGTCTTTCCCCATTACGCCCTCAACACATCCACGTCCTATCAATCCATTGGATGCGATTGGTTACTGGCACCACATCCTTACGACAGGTCACGGCGCATTGGATCGCTGCAAGATCATGTCCGATGCGAATCGAGCGGCGTCCATGTCGATGGCACTGTGGTATCGACACGACTCTATTCGCCCATGGATCGCGCGTGGTGTCGCAATCAAGCCATGCGTCCGGACGATATCATCTCCTACGGCCCCTACCAATCGGCATGGCACGAACGAGATTGGCTCATGTCGATTGGACGGCCCGTATACGATCGTGTCACGAAAGAATTCATTGGATGCATTAGTATTGATTATGGATTGGATGCCGTCGAACAGGCCGTCAATGAAGGCAAGGTGACGGGAAATAGTCAAGTGACGTTGGTCCGATTTGATGAGGACGGGACCGTGGTGGCATCGTCGGCATGGAACAGTACGGCATCGTCTCATACCGTCCATGTCGACGAATTGAACGTGGGCGTGTCAAAAGAGTCCTTTGCACGGCTCAAGGAATTGGTGGATTATGACGGCAGCAGCAGTAGCCAGTGGAATTCGTACGACGTGCGGCAAGAATACGAAAATTTTCATGTCGAAGCCGATGGGTATCTGGTGTCCGCTTATCCCATTCCCCATCCACCCGAAGAGTACGATCCATCCTATCGTCCAGAGTTTTTTGCCATTAGTTCTCTCTCCAAAAGTGACATTGCCTGGGAAGTGGAAGATGTCAGTGAATCCGTCTCGGAAACGGTCTCGGGGCTAGTGTCGTTGAGCTTGATTGTCGGGCTGGCAGGACTGGCTGCCGTGGTGCTCTTTATCTTTGTAGTCTCCCACGCCATTACGTTGCCACTCAAGTACATGAACGATGTCTCGTCCGACATTGTCAATACGTTTGGGGGTCACAAAGAAGATGGGATTGAAATGTCACACACTACATTGGATTCCAAGTGCACACCCAAGACGGAGCTCAATGATGTTGTGAAGCAGGTACGCAGAAGGGAGTTGTTCGTTTTTCGTGCCACATTGTGATAATGGCAGCTCACATGTAACTTGGTCTTGCTTCTCCCAGTTTCAAAAAATTGTGGCACGGTTTAGTGGGTCTGCCATGGCACGGACAATGCAAGTGCATGTCAACGAAATTGACAACCAATTATCGTTGGAAGGCAACTATGCTGATTTGTACCTGGGACGTGACAGCGCAGACTTTCGATACACGTTCAAGAGCAGGAACAGATCGCTGTCCAAGACGATGGAAGAGGAGAAGTTGTCCAAAAAGACGGCAGAGGACAAGTTCTCCAAAAAGATGGAGGAATACAAGGAGAAGGACCAGCCAGATGATGATTCTCCCGAGAAGGTGTTGCAACGGATCCACTTTGGATCTGTCATCAACGACGGAAACAAGTCCGAGGCAACAACCTTTCGAACCGCCGATGGAAAATGGGGAAATGGGAATAGTCTGACATCACCCCTGTTCTTTTGGATTGTGGCGTTGATCGTCCTGCCACTCCTAATTACAACAGTGTCGCTGTCAACCTTTGTGACTTACAGCATCTCCCAAGGGCTGTTTGGCATTATTCAGGAAACGCAATATGCACACATTGAAATTAATGATTATGCGCTGTTGGTTCAAGCCGAATCGAGGGCAA